CATACACACATACACACACACAGACACACTAACTGCAAAGACTCCCTTTTTGTGCTTCGCACACGGGAGTCAAAAACATCATATTTTTCCAACCGTCGAATACGAATAAAAACAATATAGATGCTTGTAACAGCAGTAATACGCCCAAAAAGCAGTATTGGTTTTTGATTGCATATTGTCGGTCTTACCACTGACGGAGATACTTGAGTAAGGCGACACGTAATACTGGTTTGGGTTCTGTGGAATTGTGAACTCAACCTTGCATTTATATGTGGTCGCCAGAGATGACGTCACGTTGTAGAGCACAAACCATTGACCAGTAGGTGAAAACAGAGCATCTGGAACGAAATCACCATTGATGTCGACTTCCACCTTCTCCATTTGGCCACGTCTAAGTTCAGGGTACTCGTTCAGTCGGTACCAAACTACATTCTGGAGATTCAGGTCAAGCCATGGTAACCAGCACGACAGGGCTAGTGATTGGCCCCTAGCAACGGACACATCACCGGAAGTCGCCACTAAAAGATTGAAAACACCAAGAAAGAAACAAGATAAGTATGGCATATTCAATCAACGGTTAACAATGCCATATTAGATTGTTAAAGAAAAATAATATAATAATAACAGTAATCCAAGTATGCGATCTGCTTCCTTTGTATTGCAATTGGTAAAATCATTAAACACTATGAAATTACATTTCAGCATACAGCTAGATAACCTGGTGGCACATACAAAAGTATGGTAGTATTTATTAAATTATGCAATAACTGACAACATTGTCGCCCAAAGAACTCTGGGAAAAGAGATGAGTCTAGCAGTACCTGTTGTAACCATCAAATCCAGCATTTCTATGTTTCTAATACTCGAATCCATCACGTCCTGACTGGTACATGCGTAACGTCCTGCATCTGTTGCTGAAACATGTTCAATCGTGATAGGCAGACTCACTACTGGATTAGGACCTTCGTTAAATGTCATTCTTTTAAGTCTGTTGGAAGAGGCTGGACCAGACACGGTCAAGTTGGTCGACGCCACCAACGATTGGTATTGTACAGCCATACATGTTAAAGTTATCGTTTCGCCGACATCAACGACGACATAGTTCTTTGGTTGCCAATGTGCTATTGATAATAAACAAAGTAAATCGTATGAGCAGCAATACAGAGCTAGTCAGACAGTGCATGCAAGTTCCCATGGTAATGTACCGACGACATGGAAACAGCCAATCAGAGATGACACAGAACTCTGTGCCGACTGCGTAGTAACATGTCGATTTACCAGGCATTCTAGAAAGTACTCGGAATGTCTGGATTCCAGGCTAGTGTTTTCACTATTGTTTGAAGACTTGCTATAATGTGAAAATTTCAAATATCAGTGTTTGTGTTACTAACTGACCTGCTGGAACGATCACTTCGACATATTTTCTTATATCAGTAGGTTCGATTCCATCGAGTCCAACGCCGTATCTCCCAGACAAATGTTCAGATATATCAATCAAATGGAAATCCGTTGACGAATTACCGCCCTCCTCTAGGATGCTGTAAACGTCCACCTTGCCTCTTGGCACGTCAAATATGGGTATGAAACCAGGGGGGAAGTCAAAATATGCTTGATCTACGTGAGTGTGCAGTGACCGATTTACAATCTTTTCCCCATATATATAAAACGATATGGTAATGTTGGTATCAATCCCTGCAACCACTGGACCGGAAGGGTCTGATTTGACTGAGAAAAGAACGTATATCAGTTGACGTTAGGAATGGATCAATATCTTAAAGCGGGAGAGTCGTCATCTGCGCATACGTCAGATGGCCATAGCGTATCATTGTTTACAAACAAGCATCTACCCATGAGCCTTTGCGTTTTTAGCGTGTGTTGTTATCGTCGCTTGGGACTCAATTCCAGCGTGCGCGCAGGTGGCGATTCTCCCGCTTTAAAGGTGGTGGTTAGAAGCAGTAAAAGGTAATTATTGCCATAGGAAAAGGAATGGAGCTGGAGTACTTTCCTGGGAAAATGTTCTGCAGTGGCACCAGTACTTTCAGATTATTACCCCTTTCCGGGTAGCCAAAAGGACATCCCTTTCATACAAATTGTCTTACTCCTTTTCAGACTATGGTTCTATTTGGACATAGGTAATGTATGATATGGGCTAATTTCATCAGAATTGAGGATTACACTCATATTCTCAATAAAGAAAACTGAGATTGTCGAACAGGCAATATTTAGTAACTCGAATGTTAATTAACAGTTACGGTAAACATAAAACGTTAAACAGAACCAAAATATATGTTGCCCATAACATAAGTTCAGTTAACTGTTAATTGAAGTTTGAGTTACTAAATGTGGACATTAAATAACATTAACACTTTATGTTGCTCGTAACTCGAAGTTTGGTTAACTGTAAATAGTGTTACAATTTGGGCTTAGTTTCGGAAAATTTGGGCGTGATCATTTTTGTAAATTGATGTTTTCGTAACTCCGAGTCGATGCTCATAACTCGATGTCCGTAACTCGAACAATTCAGCGTCTCGAATAAACTACTCTTTGATATCTGTAAGCAGGCTCACTGAATTTATTTACACACTTAATACTTTAACATACAGCCAGTTAGCAACACCTCCATAATTCTGCACGCGGAGCTTTGCGAAGGCTTTTGTGGAGAGTCCATCTCCAGTAGACTTGGCCGAAGCGTGGCTACATTGTTCAAGGTGGACGGACGTTTCGGCCCCAGCTTTTTCGAAAGCGGACGTTTCGGCCGCGGTTGTTTTGAGTATAATGTACTTGCTAATAACGTAGCAGATATAAAACACATAAATATTTCATGCTTTTAATGAATCTAAACAAATAAATATAAATTTGCCGTGTTAATACCGTATGAGATTATAAGGAAACAAATACAAACGACCAGGCGGTCAAAAGAGTCCAGCTATACTATATTAGCATTGTGGAAGTCGCTGTGTCTTCCTTGATGACAGCGGAGCTAATACTAGTAAAGATAGTGTGTTTGTAACGTACCAGTTGCAAGTCAATAAATAGGCAACGCTCCCAGTGAATCTAGAAGTGAATCAATATAAACATGCCGTGCTCGTTACCTTCGTGATACGAGTAAATACATATAAACATGCCGTACGAGTCGTCACGTGCGCATGCGTCAGATGGCCATAGCGTGTCATTGTTTACAAACAAGCATTTTCAGCCTTTGCGTTTTCAGCGTGTGTTGTTATCATCGCTTGGGACTCAATTCTGCACGTGAGCAGATGACGCTCTCAGTGAATCTAGAAGTGAATCAATATAAATATGCCGTGTTCGTGACCTGTGAGATACGAGTGAATATAAATACGCCGTAATAATAATAATATTTATTGCATCTTTAGAAATACAGTATTTCTATCAGTACAGAAGCAATAAAAGTATAACAAAGTATAATAATAATAATGAAATAATAAAGAAAGAGAAAATATTATAATGTTAAGTATAAAAGTAAAATGTAATGTGTTAAAAATTTTTACTAATACTAATAAGTGTAATAATAATAAAACTAAGACTAATAATAATAAAATTCAACTATCTATTCTTTCTTGAAAGGCTTTGTAAATAAACTCTGAAACCTTTTTTATAATTTCACATTCATCTGCACTGAGCAATCAAATGAATGTATTGTGTGCATCATGTGATAGAAAATTAAATTCAGACATAAGTTGTTAGCGCAAGTTTCCATATTTTGGACGCATCATGAGAAAGTGAAATTCATCCTCAATCACATTCATTTTGCACAGTTTGCATTTTCTTTCATTTACTGTGTTTTAGGGTGTGTGTACTGCCCTTT